TGGATAATGGCAATACAGGGAAGGCTTGTTCTTCCCTTTTCTTAACTGAAATTTAATAAGGAATGTGGCTATGGAACGTTTTTATCACTTTATGGATGTCTTTTATAAAAAAAATGTTGACATTTTGTCAAAGACACAGAAGACCAAAAAGTAGACCAATTTTGCAGAAAAGAAAATTGATAGAAATAAGTGACTTTTTACAAAAAGCTTTCCATAGCCGCACCTCCTAGACATTCTGCTACATATCTAGCAAATAAAAATCTTGATAGTTTTGCGACGAGATTAACTAAACAATGTAGGCGTGTTGCTGATAAAAGCTGCCCCAATTTCCTTCCCACATAACTGACAGACATGAAATTTTATTATGCACCCTCTAGCATGACCACCAGCCTACCCTGTAAATTTCAATAATGTCAAGCCAAGGGCTCAAAAGTTGACCCTCCTAGGAGGTGTGTCCCGTTAAGAAAAAGAAGACGCATGGTAATTATGCTTACTTGCAACCTACTAAGTGTAGTTATTCGTGAAAAAGATATTGATTTCATTACTCAATCACACACTCATAGCTTCCATCCTCTAAATATTGTACCATATACATGTCACCTCAATAGTTCTAAATATTCCTTTTTTTTGAGCGCCATCGATACTTAGAGCAGCTTTGATGAAGCTATTCATTCATTTGAATTTGAGGAATTTATATCAGTGCACTATAGGTTATTGTTGGTATGCGTTTTTGTTTTGTTAACCCATTTTTAACCGTTGGTAATGTTTTTCTACATGGTGCATACTTCATACATTTTTTGTGTTGTACTGGCATGCAATGCATGCATGTATTCCCTTTCCACTCCTGCAATCACCTTTTTTAGGAGGGAAAACTACTCGAAACGGCTACTTTTGAACTATTTGTCTTATTTATATGAAATTCGCAGGGCGTACTCATAGCACTGGAGAAGGGATGCTATGCAAATTTTCAACCTTATAAATTTATCCCACAATGAGTTACATAAAAATACATCATACAAAAAGTGCATCCGCTGAGAAAAGCTATTGTTTAGAAACGTTAATGAAAATGGCCCTTCTTTTTGGTGGAACATACAGTACAATACTTGCTTCAGACGACTATGAAAAGAAATTACAAAAGTTATGAAATTTCTATACAGAAAAGAGTGGTGTGCTTTTGATTCAAGATATATGTTTCATAACAAACGAGAATAAAAATGCTGAAAGTAAGTTGACAGTCGCATTCCCCACAAGATTTCAATATAAAAAAAAAACCAAAATCTAGCTATATGTATAATTTTATTATGAAATGATAGCTTCCCTAACCAAGATTTGACACCAAAAAGTGAAGCTGAGATAAACGTGTTTGTATCATTTGAAGCTACTACTCAAATTTTCGTGCAACCCACCTCTTTGCACATAGTACTTAGGCATCCGAAAAAGAAACACCTGTACTTTCTTCATTTTCAGTGGCATTGCCATCAATGCCACTTTCAGTTCCCTTTTCGAGAACGGCTCCCTCCCTTTTAGTGCAGACATGACGCAAATTGTGCACAAATACAGCCTTTGGAGCAGCATGTAGCAGGTTATTGGTTCTGGTACAGTTTGGCACAAATGGTGCAGCACTTCCACCACTGCAATTTGGGCTATAAAGCTATCGCGTAACTAAGCACACCGTGCTCAGAGGCTGTGAACGCACATCGCAGGTGTTCACTTAGCTTTCCTTTTTTGTTGCAGAGTTATGTCTCACTCCGGGGAGGTGTCTATAAAGAAATGTCAAGGATAGTGAAAAAGTTAAATAGTACCACAGGCTCGCAAGAAGAAAGAGGCGGGCACAGCAGATTTGTTTTTAAAATTCTGTCCCAGTAATCTCAGGTTATATTTCCGTCGATGACAGGATTTCTGTGGGAGCAGGTGCATTTTGTAGACCGACTGAGCATTGAAACCACATGTAAGCAATAACATGCAAGCACATGTCGAGGACCATCAAATGCATGAGCTGTGCGAAGAACAGACGAACGTGCACGCCGTATTGTCGAGGGGCTTGCCAGTGCAACGAGAGCCATAAAAAAGTGCAATTTATTTGCAGCCGCTTATGTCTCATGCACATTGATGTCTCGTTAATATGTACACCTCTGTTCCTCCAAAAGGTTGTTTATAATAACAAGAATGGTTGTGTTGACCAAGTTTGTCTCCAAAACGTTTGTCCATATAGCGGGGTATCCATATTAATGAATACTGTATATACTTCACTGTATATAAAAATTAAAGCCACAATAACCCATTATAAACCTCTTTCCAACAGAGCTGGGTTTTCTCTAAATTTTCGCCACTGTCAAGAGTAAGGCTTTGTTATTTTTAGACCATGTTTGTTGTTTACTGGACTCTTCTATTTTTATGTATCGAGATGAACATTGAAATCATTTCACCTGGGGGTTGAATTACCAGAAATGACATATCTTCCAGGGTAATCGAGTTTATTTTTTAAATGTTATTGGCAGTCTCTTAGATGAGTCGAACTCGCATGCGTCCCATGCTCAATACAATGCAAAACAGGTTCCTGGAGTGCCTGTAACATCCACCCATGACTAAACAAAGCATGAACAATAGCACAAAAAAAATTGGGGTGCATGTTTATACAGCCTAGGATTTAGTCTGCCTCAACTTGTCTCCCAGCTGTAGATAAGAAATGTAACCAGTGCAGTACAACTGCTAGCTTGGGGTCTTTAACGTGCATCACGCACCAGTGACACACGACCGCACGCCGGTACGATGCTCATCTAGATCAAAACGGGCAACCCAGGATTCCTGGGTTCCTATCCCCCGAACAAGTGGTTCTCAACCACTGATGTTTAAGGGACCTCTTCTAGATCAATGGAAGTGATAGGGGACCCCATCCACCGGGGAGGAGGGGGGGAAAATAGACGATTACGATGACGAAGGGGTAAATAAAAAAAAACTAAATGCATGCAAGCTAACTTTGAAGCTGTAAAACAGACTATCAACTTTAGTCACTTGGTGCACATGCAAGACAGCATAAATATAACAAAACAAAATATTTTACTGCATGGTTGAGGGCTTCGAGGACCCTGAGAAGGCCTTCAGGGACCCTAAAGTGTCTGCAGACCCTTATTTGAGATCCACTACCCCAAACAATAGCAGAAAGCTGCAAGACTTTGCACTATTGTTCGTGCAACGTAAAGTGAACTTTGTTGCACATGGCAAGGGCGGCATTCCTTACCCCTAGTGGTTTACAGTTGTTACAGCAAAGCCTGAAAATAAAAAAAAATAGAGTGCAGGCGAGCTGGTGTAAGTTGAGCATGATTGTAAACCTCAGACTGGGGCAGAAAAGAGAACACAACAGAAGGTATAAAAAGAAAAGGAAACATCTCAAACTCAGCTGCAAAGTTTATTTCGTACACGCCTTATATACCCTATCTCCAAAGCCGTCTCCTCTCTGCACATTTGAAGAAGGAAAATCGGAGCATCTTGAAAAGCTTATTAAGTCAACGGCCCCGGAGTTGCATTTCACAGTAGAAAAACCAGAGAACATGTTGCAGTTTTTGGACTTGCGCATTCAGGTGAAAAATGGCTTATGTTGGGAATATGGTAGGAAGATGGCTAAACCGGTGCTTCCCAAACAAAGTTGTCACTCTAAAATTATTAAGGCGAGAGTTGCGAAATCATTAATTGGTAATGCGCTAAAAAGGTCATGTACCCATTTCATGAGTCAAGCTTTAAAGACATTGGGTAGACGGGAGGACGCGGGGCATGAGGAAACTCTTCTAAAACGACAACTTTCTATTCAAATCAGAGACAAGCGGGATGAACCAAGTGTGAGGAACCGACGAGTTGCTATACCGTATTTTCACGATATTTCCCATAACATAAAAGCGTCGGCGAAAAAGTTTGGCGTAGAAACAGTGTTCACATCCGATTTTAAGTTATGCGAACTTACACCTTTTAAATCAAAACAGGAAGTTTGCCAGAAGGCACATCGCGAAAAGTCGGTACCGTGTGAGAATTCTGTGGTTTATGAGATTCCTTTGGAGAGTGGATTTAAATACGTAGGTCAGACGTCGAGATGTCTAAATGATAGACTGACGGAACACAAATGGAATGTGAAAAACAATGCGTCCGATTCCGAGTTAGCCAGGCACCTTCTAGAGTGTAATAATTGTAAAGCCAACTGGTCTGAAATGGAAGTAATTCACAAAGAACGTAATGATATGAAACGCATAGTTCAAGAAAAGATTCGTATAAAAACGTCTGGCAACTGTATAAGTCAGGCGTCATTGCAGTTTGGGAACGAATGTAAACAATTTTTATGCTTGTAAAGGATTGTTGTTGTTTTTTTTTTTTCTTTTTTTGTAGTACTAGCGTTGTTTACATCTGTATCCTTAGACTTGTTCCAGAAAGTCGCAGTGTTTAGCCATTTGTGGTTCGTGGTAGGAGGGCAATGTTCTCAGTTTCGGAGATGGCCCCAGTTCCGGCTGTTAGCAGTGTCTAGTACTGTTTCTCTGGACTAAGTGAGTTGTTAGAGGAAACGCAACTTTGAAGGTCAAACCCTTTCTTTGTGTTCAGTAGATATTCACCTACGTTCGCCGGGTGGTCGTGGTTATGCTAGAATGTGACCCTTTGTGCGAGTGTCTCGCAGCCGAGGTCAAGGGAGATAAGAGAAGGTATACCCAAATGTCATTGTCCTCTTGTCATGTTTTTTGTTTTTTTTTGTAGGAACGGCATTGGAGATGTGGTATATAAGGCGTATACGAAATAAACTTTGCAGCTGAGTTTGAGACGTTGCCTCCTCTTTTTCTACCTTCTGTTGTGTTCTTTTCTGCCCCAGTCTCAGGTTTACAATCATGTCCTGAAAATATATAATGGCGTGCCCCCAGGTATTTGCAACTTCTTGTACTTTATGCATAGTGCTTTAACACATGTCAATAGGGCCCAGTTGTTTCGAGCTGTCTTGTGAAAGCTAGAATTAAATTACTCTTATGCAGGATCCACGCGAAGGAGAAGTCCACGGACGGATGTGCGTGATGTTAGCGACCCACCCAAGCTCTGCAGACATTGAGCCAGAGAGAGCGAGGACCGTTTGTACCACGTGAACATTTCTTCCACCCTATTAGCAGAGCTGTGTGTCACCGCATTGCCTAAGAAAATCGTGACATCACGTGATATGCACTCAGCAGAGAGAACAGACAGGTTCCTCTTCATGAGAGTAAACCATTATCTGTGCTTTGCAACCACACATGAGCAAGGTTGCAGTAGGGCCTTTATGTTCTTTCAGAGATAATACAAATAAGGCTGACAAATTGTTTGCAAACTTCCAGTAGGGATGTTACTTTATTTGAACAAAATATAAAGTTGTTGCAAGCACTTGACATGTTTTGTGACAGTTCTGGTTCATAGCAATCACTTGTGCAGAATTGAAGGAGTTTATTTCTCAGTAAAACCTCTAGTTCATACATAGATTAATCTTTTCTATAAAAGAATTGGAGATTATTTAATGGAAAGTCACAATGTTACAACACTATGTACCTGCTTCTTTGTAACACATAGGAGCTGAAAAACTAACTCAATGACTATTAGGAAAAAAAATGATATTAGTTCGAGTTCCTTTAACTTACAAAAGTGACGACCCCGCATCTTGGGGTGTATTACTCATGTTTTCGTACAAAATCGCATCGCGACGAATATCTCGAATCACGTGTTTCGGCTTTGTGTGTACAAGCTTTTAGGCTCTCGCACTCCCTCCTTCAATGGTTTGGCCATCACTGAACACAACATCGGTTGCGCTATTAACATTGCCTGTGCTCTATGTTATAGTAGGAAATAAATTGTGCCTTCCTTCCTCACAAGTAACGACAAATGTACAAGGCGCATGCGACTGTTGGAAACTTATGGCAGCGCAGCACTGAAATCGGCCATGTTCTTTGAGCTCTCCTTGCTGCACACGCCTCGCATGTTTATACAATAGGTGTTCATATTTGTAAAAGTAAGAAGCGTGAAGCGGGTCAAATGACTTCAGTGTGAATATGTCACACTTACCTGGCTTCTGGAGCACCAGAGAATTGCCACACGGTCCTTTAGGAAACCATGAAGACACAGGTATTGGCACTAGGGGTCAATACCTATTGATATCGCCAAAAATCTTCATGCCTGAAGTCAGATTTGTACTGACATATTTATCTTTTTCATTAGCCCTCCCTACCTTGGGTTTGTTTTGTTTCTACTAGCTGTTCTATGCTTTGGAACATGTCGAAATAAATGCAAGATGTAAAATTTTGACAGTGACAGCTTTTTTTTTCATTGGGAGTGTCAGTCAAAAGAATTTTGGGTGTGTCATCTTTCTATTTCACTAAAGAGATAGTCGTGCAGCAGATATTTTTGAAATCTCTAATTTATATATAATTTTTAGAAAAGAGTGATAAGTCGCACCTGCATTGTACAAGGCCAGATTTTATTTTTCTAACATCCACCGGCTGCTATAACTTATTTTAGACAATAAATTACACATCTCCAGCTAAAATGTGGTAGTTAGAAATGTACATAAAATTAGTGACTTAAACGGGAGCAAGTAAAAAAAGGAAAAGGGCGGGCGGGCTTCTAATACATGGGTTGCACGTGACGTCATTCAAAGAGCGCTCCGATGACCACCAGAGAAGACGGGAAGACCTCCCCTCTTGTCAGGATCATCTTTTGTGCCTTCCAGATTTGCACAGACATCGCTATTCTCCTCCCAGAAGATTAACCCGTCGCTCAAAATTCTTACAAAAGCAGCTTCCCTCTCCTCCTCTCACATGGTGGTCAAAAGTATGTGATGTGACGTCAGTGCAACCCATGTATTGTCACATACACGAGCTGTCAAGTCTGCCTCGACCAAAACTGTTATGAAAAAAACACTTCATTAGCAGTTCATTATTTCCTGAAGTATTTTCAGTGTGGATGAAGTGCTATGTATAGTATGCTTTTCTGCAGAAGTCTTCATTATTCTCGATTTGTAATACTTCACGAATGACACAGATGTTGAAATTTGTTTTACAGCTTAGCATGAACTGATGGAGATAATGTGCCTTGTAAGCATGGGCAGTCGTGTAGGACTATCACCGTTTCTGGCTCTCACATGCTCAATGATGTTTTTCTGGCTCTGCAGACCTTAATGCACTTTGGCCACCTAAACCTGGAAAACCTAATACTTCAGGTAAGCATGCTGTACTGTGCTCACAGATTTAAATTTTATTTCCCCCTTGCTGTGCAGTTTGCACGCTGAACTGCCATGTTTGACCTAGTAATGATATATGCCATAATTGTCCTTGTATGCTGTAAACGGTTTCATGAATTGCCATCTCACTGTTGGTGAATTTTGCCTATGTTTACATGTAGGTCAGTCTTGGCAATAGCAAATTTTGAGCATGACCAGTGGTTCCGTAAATGATGGAGCTTGACGACCACAATTAGGGACATAATTGCATCGCACAAATGCATGTTTTAGTCATTTTCTTCCTGCCTCGCCAGCATGGTCTCCAGTATCACATATGGAGACATCTAATTGGCTATGTGTGCAAGAAATGCAGATTTTGTGCCAATTTGTTTGTACTCATCTTCATGGCAGCTTCATGTGTTATGATTGCACCAGCTGTGAAGCATAATCTCATTGTCAACATTTTATTAACTCAGGCGTACGATGAAAGGTTTGAAGATTACATAGACATGGACAGTTCGACCACCCTGGCCCAGTACTCTAAGCTGAAACTCCTGAACAAAGAGAACCATCTTGAGGCAGCGGAAGCAACAGATGTTGCGGGTGCAACAACTGGGTAATTCTAAATGAATATTTGCCAGTTCTTCGTTGCTAGCAATGCATTTTTATATGATATAAATTTGTTGTGCAATTGAGGCTATTCTGGATCTGTAATTATGAGACAGCCAACAAAAAATTACTGCAAAGAATGCTTTTAACTTCTCCCTCTACAAATGCATCTTAAAAGAAATTGGCAAGTTGCAGCATATTTATTCTGTCCATTTGACTTCTAATATAGGTGCAGCATGGAGCCTGATTGATGAGCATTACATGTTTCCCTTTTATACACGGTGTTATCTTTAATGTAAACTGAATTTTAAAAAAAGTGCAAATCTCTAGCTGAATGCCGTCATCGCTGGGTGTCTCTCGAGTTCGGTAGACATTAGAAAGGTAGATAATTATTGCGGTCTCTTGGGGAATTAACTAGAATGTGTTAATTATATCTTTAATTACTGGTTTTTTGGTTCACGTTATAAATGCAGTATCGATGTTGACAGCTGACGCTGCCTACCTCACAGACTCCTTAGTGAGGGCGTTTTCTAGAATGGAGGTTGTGGGTGACGAGTGAGAACCCGAGTGTGATGGAGATTGTGGAGAGGTATTCCGCATTCGAGTGTGGCACCTTCGTAAGTAGTCTTGGGGTGTGAATCCGGAGCATTACAAAATTAATGTTTAAATATGTGTCGATATTATTTTTGTCTTTTTATTCATTCAGCTCCAACAGGAGCTCACTGCAACAACAGGCTGCGCAAGAGAGAACAAGCTGGTGGAGGGGATACCAGACAGCCGCCTGCGCATCTCGGAGGCTGCCAGGAAGAAACGGCACCTTACCGCCTTCTTCGAAAACCTTGAGTCGTGCTGCAGGAGAGGACGCTGGTCCCGAAAATGGAAGGACATAGTGCACAAATAAGTTTGGATTCATTCTTGAGCAAAATTGGGGGGTATTTGTAGAGCTTTCATTCATTGCCTTTGTTTTCAATCCATTTTATGCCTACAATAGGCAGTTTGCTGTAATTGTCATGATGACTTTTGGTATTACAGAGGTCTTGACCGTGGCTGCACTGTATGTGTTGCCGTCCCTGGTAAAAGAAAGAAGTTTGACCTTCCTCCATTCAGATGAAATAGAAGCATCTATTTCAAAGCAATCACATGTGTTGAATTTATATCCTACGGTCCAAAAAAAGGCTTCTTTCATATGACTCGGCCCATACTAAGTTAATCGAAAGAGGGATGGTGAAAAGCTGTCTGAACGCGCCCCTGAAGAGATGTTGTGAACACTCGGCAAAGAGAAGCTTCGAGGCACAAGTTCAAAGACTAGTTGACTCTGAGCATCCCAGTTCGATAGTGTTTGATGTTGCTGAAAGCATGGCAGCTTTTAAAAGATCACAAGAACAACTTGTTTGGAAAAACCAGCCTGCTGTTGTTCCCTACATCCACAGAATAACACACAATTTGAAGAGGGCAGCCTCAGGTTCAGAGTCAATATAGCTATATCCGCTCCAGACAATTTCGAGAGGCTGCTACCCAAGATCAGTTCTGCGAAACATCTACAACACCAATGCAAGGTTCAGCACATGGACAAGTATGTCACCTGCCATATAGGGGTCGTCTATGAGATTCTGCTCTCCTGTGGGACTGTGTATGTCACCCAATCTGCCCGCTGTGTTAACATCAGACTACGCAAACACGCCCTTTCACTAAAATGATCTCCGGCAGGACACCTCGCCGCACATATCCAAGACTGCAAATGCATCCGTTTCCTAAAACCAGAATCCTCAAGCAACAACACAACCTGAAAGCCAGGGAGATATATGGGACTTAAATCATCAAAGCCAGAGGGGACACTTGCATTAGCGCACCCTCAGTAGCCTTATCTGACAGAGAACTTCAATACCACAATTTGTTTTCTTAAAATGTTACCATTTTTCAATTTTTTATTTCTCCTTTAGATTTTTCTTCAACCTCTTTTTTGTTCCTTATTGTTTTGTTTTTTTAACTTTCTTTCTCTAGTCTCATTTCCCCAGTCCTGTTTTTCTTTATAGCTTTTCATCAAAAAACAAGACAAAACTATTATTTTTGTTTTTTTTTGTTTTACAGCAACCACCTCTTCCTTTTCTATCACAAAAAAAAAAACCTTTCCATGGAAAGTTTTTTTTTTTTTTTGTTTTTTGATGAAGAACTTTTCCACCACAGTGCTGTCAACATCCACATAGAGTTTGCACAGCCCCTTGAAGACCTAGTACACTTGAAAAAAGTTTCAGTGCCCGTAATACTCCTGGAATTTATTTGCATTCATTGTATTTCTTTAACATAAAGGCGCAGGCGGGTCAGTTATTGTCTTTATTCGAATATCGGGAAAACTTTGTTTCGGCTCTTTTCTTTAAAACTTGGAGCCAAGCAAACTCGTGACAATAAAATGGCGCGTGCACTTAACCCGCAACGGCACATGACCTTGTTATATGGCAGTATGATTGTGAAGTTCAACGTCGGGTTCATAATGTGACTAAGACTCACTGTTTTGCCAAACTGTGGCAATCTACTATACAGAATGTTTTCCAGATTCGTAGATTATAGTGTTCACAAGGAAATTCTTAGTGAATGCAGGTTCACCTTGGCAGTGGATTGAAAATACCCAAGCTAGAGCTAGACGACTTGGTGTCCAAGTTACCAGAGCAGCGCTTCGTAAAGGACCTGTCCTGGTCCATTTAAACTACTGCGGAGCTCTGCGCTCGCAACGTGATTGGCGAGCCCAGCCGAAAAGATGGGGCGAAAGGGAGGCTGCTGGAGACACCCGCAAAAATGATGGCCCTTGCATGTAAGTGCATAGTGTCAAAATATTAACATGAATGACAAGGGGTCAACTTTCAAAAGATAATCTGGTAATGTAGAAAGTTGATCGAGTTGGTAAATGTCTTAAAAACGAGTTGAAAGATGTGCTGTCCTTGTTCAAGTCTTTTTTAAGTTTAAACTATTTGAAAAACCAAAAATTTATTGAGGTGAACTTGGAAAACTAACAGGAAGAATAAGGCTGAAGTATTAGACAACTAAAAAATTAATAAGTGAACTTGTGCTCACAAACAAAATAAAATTGGTGCGACTAGCGTTGGCGGTGTCAATGTCAGCGTGACGAGTAAGACCTTACTATAACCCGAGACTATCTGCCTGCAGCCACCATGTGCTTCCTGTTACACACATACAACAGCCAAGAACATTTCCTAGACTAGAAAAAACAAGCTTCGTGGTTATATTTAATTGGGACATTCCAGACAAGCTACCAGAGGGTAAAAAGAACTACTGGTGCCCAATATTGAACTTCTGCCCGAGAGCTAAATGTGCTACCATCTTGGCCATGCACACTGCATTATGTTTTGTGAAAGCTTTGCAAACGCAATCCCTCTGTTTTCTTTTGGCTTAAAGGGCCCCTCCAACAATATAATTATGCTTCTGCTTTTTTGCGCTCCCTGCCTTTTCAGTGGTTCGGGGGATTTGGGGAAGAAAGATGAAACCGCAAAAGAATGGTGCATCATATTTCTATTTGACAAGGCACGGAACGGTTGTATCGATGGTGGCGCAGCGTGGTGCTAAACGCGCGCGGTAGATGACTTTAACGGAGCTGCCTTCCCGATTAGCCAGGTCCACCAAACATTTCTATCTGAGCGTAGAATAATAAGTGTGATTGTTCTTACCTCATAATCATTTATAAAAGTTGTTTTTATTGAGCTCTAAGAATAAGAAAAAAACTAAATGTACTTTAATAAAGTGCAAAAACAATAAACAACAAAAACAAGCTCTTTGCGACATGCGAGCTGCCCTGCGGCATTAATGTCGCAGAAATTGAAACCAAACTAGCAGACGACGCATCGTACACACGTGCTGTCTTCTCATGCACTTTTACGAAACTCGACTCAGTGAGTGGGGACCCCGGTCACTCCCGCGGCATGCGGGGGGCGATGATGAAGGGACGATGCATGGATGCAAGCACTGAGAGGCGAGCTGAGCGCCGGCAATGCATACGCAGCTTTGGGGAGGCGGCACGCCCACTGCCCAGCAGCTCTGCGGCGAAGGAACACAAGGCTCCACTGTATCAAAGATAGTCGACGCTAGAGTCACTATAGAGCGACGATGTGGATCTGGCAGTGGAGGAGCCGCCGCGTGTTTTGCGCCTACAATTGACATCTCCATTTATGTCACGCAGTGGCCCACTTTTGTAACTTTCGTTTGCTTATAGTGCCTCGAATAATTTTTATTTTGCAAAGCGGTTACCGTATTTACTCGAATATAACACGCCTTGGATTGTAACGTTCACCGTTTTCTCGAGGTCCGAAAAAAAAGGAAAAACGTCATGTGCGCAGAGAGCGATGGAAATTGGGCCGCATCACGTGCAATGGGTGAAGGATGCACCAGATTTTGTAGGTTATTCTAAATAAACTTCAGAAGCATAATTTAACAAATATCGAGAGACTGAATCTTAGTACAATTAGAAATTTTTTCCTGTATTAAAATTTCGCTTGTATTGTGAGGTCGTGTGTTCTGTATGTTTCAGTTATCCTTGAAGTAGTACGATTTTCATTTCTAGTCCTGTCATGTACCTAAATATGCTATGTGCCTTATATATATGTGTGTATATGCGCGTGTGTATGATGCGTATGTGTGTATGTATGCGTGTATGTGTATGTATGTATATGCATGTGTATATGTGTATGTATATATGTGTGTGTATATATATATATATATATATATATATATATATATATATATATACACATATATATGATTTTTTTGTTATCTTTAACAGCGTGTTTAACTTATGCTGTTCTTCTGGTTCTTTTTTTATTTATTTATTTATTTATTTGCTTAGTGTTAAAAGCTGAAAACTTAATATTATAACTTCATGTGTAGTATGTCGCCGTGTGCCAATTGTAAGGCTGCAGAGGCCTTGTCAAGTCAAACTTTTGACTTTTTGCCCCTGCAGCCTACATCAGTTTCTGATGTGAAATAAAGAATTGATTGATTGAAATACAGAAATTAAACTTTTTCTCACTTGGAACAACAAAGGTTTATTCCGAATGCTTCAATCTTGCGATGAAATGAACGGCGCTGTCTCTCGCCGGCAAGGTCGTCGTCATGGCGACGATCCGGTGCAGCGCTCGTGGGGCAGTACGCATCACTCGTCATTGTTGTCGGACGACTCCTTATCGCTGTCAACGGCCCAAAGCATTTCATCTTCGGTGCCGTCCATAGCGTTAGGAGTTCCGCACTTCTTGAAGGCCTTAATAACCATGGCAGACAAGATTGTGCACCACGCATCCTTCACCCATCGCACGTGATGCAGCCCAATTTCCATCGCTCTCTGCGCACAATATCCCATTACTTTTGAATCCAGCATCATGGTGAACGCGGCGGGTCTTTGCACTGGGAACTTCCACGCTGATACGAAAGAAACACACAAGCTGGCTACACAGCTTCTTAGCACGTAATGGGCGGCTATTTTGGAATATCGATGGCGATATGGTAGCGCAGTTTTGGGTCGCACTCGTTTGTAGCATGCATGCGATTTTTGGACCTTAGATCCGAGTAAATACAGTAGTTTCTCAGTGTTATTGCGTTGCCTGCGGTCACTCTCGGCACAAGTTTCCGACCAGTCAAAAAATTATAGGAGAGGCCCTTTAAATCTCTGTATTCGGGAATGGATGGACACATTTCCGGGATAGACGGAGACATATTCCCTGAAAGTCAGCTCTTAAAATTATTAGTTACATGGTCATGGATGGTTTACAATCTGGATTTAGGTTGATTGGTGTCTTTGGCCAGGTGTTTTGGTACTGCCAACCTAGGTTTATAATTGCCACTATAGCCACTTGTGGATTGATTGATTGATTGGAGTTTTATGGCGCGAGAGCAACTAGGCCAAAATGCGCCAGGTGCATACACTATTGCAGGAAAAGGGTTAAGGAGAAGACAGAGCTATAGTAGCAGGTGATGCTAAAAGTATGAACATGAATCGTGTAAAAGATATGGATATGCATATCAGGTAAGTATAAAAGTTATAATCAACAAGGAATTATTTGAAAATAAAAAACGCACCGTGAAAAAGGAGGGGTTATAACAGGTGTAGATAGCCTGTAATTTAAGAAATTCCAAAACTTTGTTGAAAGGTACAAGAGGTTCATTAACTAGCAAAAATTTGGGATAAAATGGAAGATGATTCTAAAAATAGTGGAAAAACATACTCATCGTTTTTGATCCAAGTACCTACAGTGCCACAGAATATGTAGGACAGTCAATGTTTTGCCACAATGCTCACAGCGCAGGGTATTATCATTACAAAGTAAATATAGATGCTTTAGACGAGTGTCCCAATACGCAAGCGGCACATCAAGACCTCGAGGAACCGGTTCCTCTGGTGGGAACTCTCCCATAATCCTAAACAAGGCTTGATATTGTGTAGTTTATTGTCTGTTTCTTGATCCCATTCTAACTCCCAAAGTTCATAAATTGATTTTTTAATAACTAATTTAAAATCCTCATAAGGTAGGCCGACCGATGCTTTTAAGCCACCATTAACAGAGGCAGCCAATCTATCTGCTGTCTCATTACCTGGAATACCTACATGGCTTGCCACCCAGCATAGTTTTATATCAAGGTCAAGTAGAGAGCGCGATTCATTTGGACACGCGCTTGTTAAACGGGGCGATTCTTCGTAACGGTAAGAGAACATAAAGCCAGTAGAGCACTCTGGGAATCTACGAACAAAATAGCCTTCCTCACACGGTCTTCTAAGATGTGTTCAAGCGCCATGAGCACAGTGTAAAGCTCAGCAATGAAAATACTTGCAACACTGTCAGTACGTCTCGCTCTACTAAAGTGTTCCGAATAAACTGCGGAACCTACGAAAGACGAGCTTTTGGCCCCGTCAGTAAAAAATTCCAGTCTTGATATTTCTCTTGTAATGCAAAAAATTCCGTGTGAAGAACCTGATGGTTAACTGACCTTTTATTATATTTTGTAAGCGACCAATCACATGACAATCTTACTGCCTTCCAAGAGGCAACAGTTTGTGTTTCCTTAATCAAGTTACTTTCAGGAAGAGCCAGCTGCAGGGAGGCAAAAATGCTCTGAAGCCGGAAGCTTAATGGGCGTGTAATGCTAGGTTTGTTTTCAAAAAGCCGCAAAAACACAGGTGTTAACCGAATTGTTTGATGGATGCATAGGATCAGATTTCACTTCGTACCCATAACACAAGCTAAGATATTGTCTGCGCTTCTCTAGAGACATTTGATGTGTATCTACATAAAGGCTCAAAACAGGCGATGTCCAAAATGCTCCTGTGGCAAGTCGAAAGCCAAGGGGAAGGACCGAATCCAGCATTTTTAAGACAGATTGCCGTGCGAATCCATACACAATTGCACCATAGTCCAGACGGGAACAGACCAGTGAGTTGTACAATCGGATGAAACATCGCCTGTCAGGCCCCCAGGATGTGTGTGAAAGTACTTTGAGAATGTTAGACGACCGCAGGTATTTCTGCGTCAGCTCCTTGACGTGAGCCAGAAAGGTAAGTTTCTTGTCGAAAATAACCCCTAAAAATTTGTGCTCGTATTTTACAGGTATTGCAGCGGTATTGAGCTGCAAACAAGGATTAAGCAACAGACCACGACATAGTGAAAAGGGCACACACACTGTTTTTTCAGATGAAAACTTAAAACCATTTTCATTTCCATCACACGTCACATCACACATCACAGCACACTTCCAAATTGTGGCTATGGTGATTCATGGAAGGCTTGCCACACCGGTGGCTCAAGTGCATTTGGCTCCAGGATTCACATTTCAAGACAATGGATATGTCTATCTACATTGAAGTGGCCGGTACATGCGGTAGACGATTAATATAAATATGGTACACCTCTCATAGGAAGGAGTAAGGGTTGTTTCAGAAGTAACCCATAATATGTGTTTATCCTTCTTAGCGGTGCGCAGAGATCTCGAAGAGCTGTTGGAGTCAATGTTGCCCGACTCGAGTGATGAGGATGCTGCAATATTGAAAGGAACGTCGAAAGAAACATCGAGAGGGGCATCGAAGGGGACGTCAAAAACTGTTAAGGTAAACATCTATCTTTATTTATTTTTATGTATCTGATACATAAAAAGGTTTATAGCACTACTCTGGTTCCTGACTTTCTTTCTGCGTTCTGTTCAAAATGCTGCTGGCCTGTTCTTTATGTCATTTTTTTTTACTTTCTTTTCTTCAATATTACCGTATATTGCCGCATTTAAGTCGACCTTTTTTTAAGGAAATGGGTATCTCAAATTAGGGGGGTCGACTTATACGCGGAGTCGACCTATACGCGAGGCCTAAAAACGCGTCTAGACGAACGACAGATCCTAGGGACTTTTTTTTCCTCACAAGGAACTAGTTTCGTGGTGCTTGAGAGCCAGCTAAGCCATTACCTGCATAAACTTGTTCTAAAAACAAAAATATAATATTTTTAAATCTTAATTTTACTTTATAACACCTTTAGTCGCATGAAACTATTAAAGTTGTATCAGGAAAGAGTTTGCAGTTGAATCATAAACTTATCTAGGGACTCCATGGAGGAAACGTAGGGACTTATACCTAGGTACACAAGCAAAAGCACGCGACCGCGGCCATATCAGACCCTTGTTTGTCACATGTCTGTTCAGTAGCCTTCACGAAGTGGAAGAAAATGCCGCCTCAAGCTAGGCGTCAGTACAGCGCGGCGTTCAAGAGGAAGGTTATTTTGTTCGCTGAGGCGGCGAACAACGTCGCGGCAGAGCGTCACTTCGGTGTCTCAGAGAAGTGCGTGCGGGGATGGAGACAACAAAGGCAGAAACTTTTTGCTTGCGCGGGTGCGCGTCGGTCCTTTCGGGGCCCCAAACAAGGCCAGTACCCTGCGGTCGAGGAGGTTGTTCTGCGATGGGTCACGGAACAGCGAAGCAGAAGCCTCAGCGTCTCGTACGACGACATAGAAAGCAAGGCGCACGCTGTTGCCAACGAAATGAAAATTGGACGGAGCGAGTTCAAGATTTAAAAAAAATGGATCACAAACTTTATGAGGCGATGTGGCCCGAGTTTAAGAAGAAAAACAACAGTTTGCCAGCGGCTGCCCTACGCCTACGAAGAGAAATCATGGGCATTTCATCGATACGTAACAGAAGTGAGAACGAAGCACTCCCTCATGCTCGGCCAGATCGGCAACGCTGACCAGACGCCGGTCTGGTTCGACATGCCGAGTAGGACGACTGTCACCGGCAAGGGAGAGCGCCAAGTTCCCGTCCTGACGACTGGGAACGAGCACAATCGTTTCACGGTCATGTTGTGCTGCACAGCAGACGGCCACAAGCTGCCTCCCTTCATCGTCTTCAAGCGGAAGACATTGCCAACTAAAGAAGTGTTTCCGCCGAAAGTTATTGTTCGAGTGAATGAGAAGGGCTTTTTTAATGAAGAGACCGTACTCGAACCGGTTTCACCTCGTTTGGTGCAGGCGCCCGGGTGCGCTCCTGAAACCCCGGAGCGTGCTCGTGTTAGACTCGTTCCGCGCCCACATTACGGATCGCGTGAAGAAGGCGGTGGCGAATGCGGGTTGCGACCTGGCAATCATTCCAGGCGGGATGACGTCGGCTCTCCAGCCCCTCGACGTGGTTTTAAACCATTTAAAGATCGTGTTGGAGCATTTCACGAGTGGCTGAGCCGGGAAGACAACCCGACGACTCCGACAGGCCGAGTGAAACGCGCGTCTTTAAGCACCATGGCGACCTGGGTCAACGATGCCTGGTACAGATTACCGAATGACATGGTTTGCGAGGCCTTTTCGAAATGCGCAATATCGACGCCGCTTCAGCCGACCGAGCGCGCTGACCCGGACTCTAGCGACAGTGACTGCGTCGTAGTGTCGAGCGATGATGAGTAAACCACCGTTTATTTCTGCGTGTAAATATGCTTCCATGCCAATAAACAAATTTTTCTAATTTCCTTAACTCGTATGAGAAACTTTTTTTTTCGTGTCGTAGTCTGAAGAAATTTACTTATATTCGGGAGTTGACTTATATTCGGAGTCGACTTATAATCGGATGTATACGGTAGGTGAAACAGCCTCTATGTTTACCACATTGAGTGGTAAAGCATGGGCGAGCTGGTGAACGATCATATTATGATTAAAGCAATCCCAAGTCAAGGAAAACAGGATTACAAAAAGGAAGCAGATTGACTTCGTGACACGTTTTGTCTGCCCTCTTGTCTGTCCTCACCTGAACCCATTGTGGCCTATATCTAGAAAACAATCTACAAAGTATACTTATGTATAGTTGCATCTGAATGATGTTGCAAATCCAGTCTGACAGCATTAGTGTCAAGCTGGCTCATCCGTCAAAATAGCTTGTGGTGGTGGTGCATCAAGCAATTAAAGGGTAACTGCAAAGAAAAAAAAGTTTTTTTTTAAATAGCCTAATTGGGACAAGCATGTCAAAAAACAATTTTTCCGCAAGAAAAAACATTTTTTACAGCAATATTTATTGTGTGAGACTCATTTTAGTTTGCGGCTATTTCGTCCGTTTTAAGTCGCGCGCCACGAAGTTGTGATTATGTGACGTCAATCCCAAAAGGTTCTCATTGGCTAAGAGTTTGATTGACAGCTTAGATCTTGGTTGTTAAACCTTTGTTATTTGTTGCAATTTCCTTTTGAGCGGCATATTTTCACGTTTAAAGAATAACCCATGTGATGAGAGTTATTATTCTTTACAAAAGGTTTACAAGACGGGCACTTCCGTTTGGATTCATACAAACAGACGCTTCGCCATTCTTTCATGGCCGTTGAAGTCTCTGCTCCCGCCTGTCTCGCCTACCTGGACTAATCGTTTCGCCGAAGTGATCAGTGTTTCGTCGTTTCGTGCTGACCCAGGTGCTTGAGTGAGACTTCTTGAAGTGAAGTAGTGTGTGTTTAGCAGCTGTCGCAAATGTTAGTGATAGGAATTGACGCGGGGTTTTGGCTTTCATAACGCGGTTCTTTCGTCTTCCTCTTTGCTTGCTTAACGTGTTTTTTTTTGTTTTTTTTTGCTTGTTTGCGCGTGCAAATGCCTACTTTTCGGAGATGTCAGATGCGTGATCCCGACAGTGAGCCTTCCAGCAGCCATGTCGCCCCGAAAGGAATGCTATTTGGCTGGAGGCAATCGGGCGTTCGCGTAGCGACCAACGTGTCTAGTTACGTTCTCGTCATCTCGGTCTGGAGGCCGTCGAGATTCGCCCCATGTGCACCTAACGTCCGCGACTAGACAGAAAATAAAAAAGCACTATGTCCACTATGTAAAAATGGTCTCAGTTCATGCATCTGTAGGCAGGTACGAAATCGTGCCCAAATTTATTCACACCGCACGATGCAACACGTCGCTGTGCAAACGCAGTCCAACACGAAGCATAAAAACGGCAGATTTAGGACAACAATTCGGAGTCCATTGTTCAATTAAAACGACGTAATTTTGTTGAAAACGGCCGCAGCTTTTTACTCACGGTATGCGTCGGGAAACTTCCACATTTTGAAACAGAACGAGGCAGATTTACTTTTAAAAACGCTCCCAGCGTCCTCCCGGACCAGTTTGACTGGATCAGCTGACGACGACGGGACTTATCTGGTTGAACGTCAACCCCACAGCAACCAATTTGCGCTCCGTGTTAGCACCGCATTACACACACCACGAACGTTTCAGCTCTGTCGCATCGCCGTGTTGCACCAAACAGAAAACGATCGATGAAACCAACGCAGCGCTGTCGTGAACCTTGGCTTGTGGTTGCGCACTCGTGGATTCTGTGACTCCCTTCGCTTTCAAAGCGCGCACGACGATTACGAACGATACTTTCCGTCTTCCGGGAACATCACAGGGGCACTTCTCCCGTCCCGTCTTCGCTACATGTGCTCGCAAACCGCGTCAAACCAAAACAATACCGCGGCCTGGCGTAGTTGCCAGATCTTGCCGGAAGTCGAGACGCTGCGTCGTTCAACTCCGCAACGCAAGGAGAGTGAGGGGCGGGGCGTACTCCTCTTCCGCGGGGGTCGAAAGAGCGGGAGTTTCAAATGTGGAGAGGTTCTGACTCTACTAAATTACGTCCTGTGGCGTAAATATTGATAAAAAAAATCATTTTTTTCGCGGAACATTTGTTTTGTGACATGCTTGTCCCAATTAGGCTGTTTAAAAAAAAACTTTTTTTTCTTTGCAGTTACCCTTTAAGACAAAATAATTGCTTGATTATCACTCCATTTTCTTCGCTGTGTTTGGAACAGTTTGGGTACTGATGTCAGAGTGCCCGTCATTGCTGTAAGCCAGTGGGTAAAACAGTGTGCAGCTGGAGCTTATACTTTCACTTATACTTACACAGCTTATAAGCATTCTAATGATTCACTCTCCTTGATTCCATTGCTTCAAGGAGCACTTTGCCTTGCACTGTTTTAAATACTCATTTGTGTCTGAGTTACACGGATCCTGTCATGTAACAACACTGATAGATGGATGCTGAACATGGGCAGGTGTTTAAATGCTATACGCAGAGCCATTACTCCAGAGTTGGGTCGAGTAAGCTTTCGGAAAAACCCGTAAACTGCCTGTTTCAAGTAAATACACCATGTTGAAGGTGCACTAAAGAGGTTTCTGAGACAACCTGTTCATGGTGATAACTCATTCTACAATCTCTTAAGCACCTTAAAAGTCCAAAAATATTTGGACGTTTGCAATGCTTATTTCACTTCTAAATATTTGATTTGAGATTGGGGGCGGTTCTTTCTGAGTGGAACTTTCTGCAGGAGTAGGGCAGAGCATAATCCTACCGAGGTGATGGTGGGTGATGAGAGGCACTCGTCAGCCAATCGCTAGCCGCTTTTCCGAGAGCAGACGAAGCATCTGCTCTTGGGAAGGCACCCCGCAGTCGCCTTGGCTAAATTATGTGCCACTAGCGCGAAAATTTTCGCTCAGGAAGGGGCATACCCGATCTTAGATCACATTTTTAGTAGTGAAATAAGCATTGCATGAGCATAATTTTATTTGTAGGATGCCTAGAGCCCGTAGATTGACAGGGTGTTTAGCGACCTGGAAAACCGAAAATTGTCGGGGAAATTTTAATTACCGGGGAAAGTCAGGGATATTGTCATTTTCCCTGTCAG